CTGTCCTCTCCTCCATCCCAGTACCGGTCCCACTGTCCTCTCCTCCATCCCAGTACCGGTCCCACTGTCCTCTCCTCCATCCCAGTACCGGTCCCACTGTCCTCTCCTCCATCCCAGTACCGGTCCCACTGTCCTCTCCTCCATCCCAGTACCGGTCCCACTGTCCTCTCCTCCATCCCAGTACCGGTCCCACTGTCCTCTCCTCCATCCCAGTACCGGTCCCACTGTCCTCTCCTCCATCCCAGTACCGGTCCCACTGTCCTCTCCTCCATCCCAGTACCGGTCCCACTGTCCTCTCCTCCATCCCAGTACCGGTCCCACTGTCCTCTCCTCCATCCCAGTACCGGTCCCACTGTCCTCTCCTCCATCCCAGTACCGGTCCCACTGTCCTCTCCTCCATCCCAGTACCGGTCCCACTGTCCTCTCCTCCATCCCAGTACCGGTCCCACTGTCCTCTCCTCCATCCCAGTACCGGTCCCACTGTCCTCTCCTCCATCCCAGTACCGGTCCCACTGTCCTCTCCTCCATCCCAGTACCGGTCCCACTGTCCTCTCCTCCATCCCAGTACCGGTCCCACTGTCCTCTCCTCCATCCCAGTACCGGTCCCACTGTCCTCTCCTCCATCCCAGTACCGGTCCCACTGTCCTCTCCTCCATCCCAGTACCGGTCCCACTGTCCTCTCCTCCATCCCAGTACCGGTCCCACTGTCCTCTCCTCCATCCCAGTACCGGTCCCACTGTCCTCTCCTCCATCCCAGTACCGGTCCCACTGTCCTCTCCTCCATCCCAGTACCGGTCCCACTGTCCTCTCCTCCATCCCAGTACCGGTCCCACTGTCCTCTCCTCCATCCCAGTACCGGTCCCACTGTCCTCTCCTCCATCCCAGTACCGGTCCCACTGTCCTCTCCTCCATCCCAGTACCGGTCCCACTGTCCTCTCCTCCATCCCAGTACCGGTCCCACTGTCCTCTCCTCCATCCCAGTACCGGTCCCACTGTCCTCTCCTCCATCCCAGTACCGGTCCCACTGTCCTCTCCTCCATCCCAGTACCGGTCCCACTGTCCTCTCCTCCATCCCAGTACCGGTCCCACTGTCCTCTCCTCCATCCCAGTACCGGTCCCACTGTCCTCTCCTCCATCCCAGTACCGGTCCCACTGTCCTCTCCTCCATCCCAGTACCGGTCCCACTGTCCTCTCCTCCATCCCAGTACCGGTCCACATCCCAGTACCGGTCCATCTGTCCTCTCCTCCATCCCAGTACCGGTCCATCTGTCCTCTCCTCCATCCCAGTACCGGTCCCACTGTCCTCTCCTCCATCCCAGTACCGGTCCCACTGTCCTCTCCTCCATCCCAGTACCGGTCCCACTGTCCTCTCCTCCATACCAGTATCGGTCCTTATGTTCTCTCCTCTATTCCAGTACACGTCCCTCAGTCCTTTCCTCCATTCCAGTACCGGTCCATCTGTCCTCTCCTCCATCCCAGTACCGGTCCATCTGTCCTCTCCTCCATCCCAGTACACGTTCGTCTGTCCACTCTCTAGCTCCCCTCCCCCACAACAACATAGCCCTCCGCAGTGTCCCTGCACCCCTTCCGCCATTCCTCCCCCACCCCCCTCACACACAGACACTCACCCCAAACCTTCTCTCCTCCGGCTCTACCCGCACAGAGGAACAATAATATCACAACGCACGGAGGAAGTGACGTCACGCCACTCTCTCTACCGGAGCGCTCCACCGCTTCCTTTCGCCCGAAATGCAGCGCGACGGAGAGGCGGGGCCACAAAAAAAGGGGCGCGACTACCCGGCGGAGCTGATAGGTGGAAAGAAGAAAGCCGCAGTTCCGCCAGTGACCACAGGGAACCGCCCTCCTCACGTGACCTTCATAGGGGCACATTAGAATAGAAGGAGCCGCAGTTTCCGCATCCCTCTAGGCAGAGGAAGTGTCCCTCGTCGGCGCCATCTTTCCGGAGACCTTCATTCACTCCTGTGCTTATTTTCATTGTCTTTCTGCCCTACTGTCCTTTTTTTTAGGTGTACAGATCTGTTTAAATAAACAGATCTAAAATACTATGTTGTTTTAGATGTTATATCCAGCCTCCTGTAAATGATGCGATCACTTCATTTTAAAGCTGAAGTTTAATCTGCATCCTTTTCACATATTCAACTATTTTATGTCACCAGTGGTAAGAAAAGAAGCTTATTGTTTACATTGTCATCATAGCAATGATAGAAGGCTCGTTGTAAGGTTTCAATCTGACAAAGAAAGCTGCCCATCGTACTCTGAGAATCCTTTATCATGACATAAAATGTAAAGGGTATCTATAATGAAACACATAACATCAATCTGACTTTCCATAAGTTCTATCCCTCTCCTAATAACCAGATCCATCTAGAAGTTTGTAAACTTACTAAAGATGCCCATAGGATGGACTTCCTCAATGCACTAACACCATTTCACTCAGCCCTGGGAATATGGACCTCCTTGTGTCACCACTCTCACAGAGCCTGCCTTCTAACCTACAACTCCACGTCTGAACAATGTAAACTTATCATTGCTTGCTGGAAGCAATGCATGATGGGATAGGAAGTCTTGAGAAATGGAGATTGCATCACATCAAGCAGCAAGGAAAGAGACACAAAGCACACAGGGAATCCAGGAAGTTGTTGAAAGTGATGGGCAGACAGAAGGCAGCACTCACTACATAAAAGCTTTTGATTGCATTATCAGAAAGAACTCTAGTATGTATTCCTATTACAAAGCTAATGTTATAACAGGATAGTGTATGTTGGGACTTTACATCTCCTTTTATGCTATTAGGTGCTATATTAATAACAAGTGATTACACAAATGTATAAGAGAATAGCAGTTTGATACCAAACACGCCTATGCTTTCATGTACAGAGGGCGGATTGGCCACAATAATTCTTCTAGGTGATATACAGTAGGCATCCGATTTATGTCATGGTTGGTCTTCAACAAATTGTAACTTCATTCCGTTGAACAATATGTTGGTTGTCAGATTATAAAACCATGCCATTTGGAAGTATAGGTATAGATCAAATTCTTGGCTACAGGGGAACGTTCAAATTATAATAATGAATGTGCTTCTCTTATTATAATTCGATACATTTAGAGGGTAACACTTCTTATAGTGCTTGGAGCTGCACAGGGATTGGCGCGAGGTGCTATTTGTCAATAGGGGAGTGTTCAATTAAATATCATAGGTCAATTCATCACTCCTACACCACACCCCTCAGTTCTTTTGATTGGGTATGTGGGGTTTTGCCCAATCACACCCTCTGGAGAACATTTTGGTGGTCCCCGGGCCCCTCTGATGCCTTGCAGGCTGGGCCATCATTGAAGTGGCACGGAGGCTCCGGGGCTGCCTCTCACTGACTCAAGCAGCGGTTGTCACAAGGAATACGCGGCTCTCAGTACAGTGCGGGCTCTGCAGGAGGCGGGGCATCTCATCAGCACCCGGACTGAGCAGGCTGCGGGACACGGATGAAGTGGGGAGAAGCCAGGTAATAGTCACTCAGTGTGGGGGAAGGGAAGGCACAGGGGTGGTTGGGGACAGAGTCATGTGGCGTTGTATTCAAGTC